TGCATCGTGATTTTAGAGGAAAAAAATATTTTATTTCCATAAAAATTGTGAAGTTGAAAATCGTGAAAGAAATGGTAAAATTATTAGGACCTCATTTTATTGTGGAATAATTAAATTTGGCGAAATTCCGAAGAACTTGTGTTCACTGGTTCAATAAAATGTCACCATTAAGTCTAGTCTTAACTGTTATTGTAATTCGGCTATGTTTTAGGGCCTATTATTTTTCTACTTCATTTATTCATCTGTTTGGGTTTTAGGCGCTTGCAAAATGTGGCAGGTAATAATTTCCATTAAATCCAAATAACTGGTATAGGCGCAAAGGGAATGAATTTTCAGTTATTCAGCAACAGTTTTCATCCCTGTACAATAAACGTTTAGACAGGACGCATCCGATATTTTGTATAACTTGACATATAGTCTTCATAATTTCGGTGGATTCTATTCTATTTTCAATTTCCAGGGCAATCAAATGACGACCTGGTCAAACCTTATTGAAAACTGTATTTTGTTTCATGTATCCTGCTTAACTGCGTAATGGAAGTCTTCATATTTTATGTATACTGCACACGTTCCGACGTTTATCTGCATCATTTGTGTCAAAAAATTGTGTTGCCAATTAAAGTCTGCAAGATTTTTTCCTTAAATTCTCTCTGGGCACTGTCCTATTTTATTGCCAGCCGTGATTTCTGTCGCGTTAGAATTTATTTATATAGCCTATAAAACTAGAATTGAGGTTTTGAATGAATGCAGGCTAGGATAACTTCATGCCAAACTGACGCTGTTTTCAGCGGAACTACGTATTTACTTTCATCTACAGTGGGATGATAAAGCTCCAAGCTCTGCGAAAGTAGTCTGTATTGAACAACTTCGAAGCTGTTGTGCGGAGAAGTGGAAGGTTAAAATTTAAGTTGTTCGTATTGTTTACAAAGGAAAGTCCAACTTAACGAATTTTGTCCGAAAATTATTGATAAAATTTTTGTTGTATTTCGGCTATTAGTTGATGCCAAAATGTGAAATTTTCCACGTGTTCAATTGAATAAGCAATCTAAACTTCTTTCATTTCCCCTTACAAACCCATGCGAAAACCTCGAAACAGAATTATCAGTTTGTATTTTACCACAAGAAGTTGTGATGATAGAGCGGCAGGTTCTGTATCCTGTGACCTAAGTTGAACGCCAGTTAAATTACAAACTTCTGTCTCTATAAGAGGACTTGTCCACATGCATAAGAAGGCCACAATACTAAAATTGATCGAGATGAACTTTGTATTATACAGAAATTCTAGGTCATGAACTATTTTACACTAAACTATAATGAAAATAAGTTCAATTCTACGTACCTATTCACCCCTAAACTATCTATCAACCCGATTCTAGCGCACTCTGAAACGTTATAATAATTATGCGCTGGACGGTACATTTAGGTGAAGGGAATGAACAGTTGAAAGTTCGTCGCGCGATGAATTCCTTATGTGGATCCTTGCCGTATGAAACCCTTGTAATTGTTTTTCTATGTAAACGTTTTCCACGTGCCACAGACACTGGTATAAAAAAATGAGTTTGTAGCACGATTCTGAATTGCACTGAATTATTTAGTTAATCTTTATAATTGAAGATTTGGAATAGAACATTTTTCGAAACGTTCCATCGCTAGTGATGAAAATACAATGCACGAGGCTACGGACATTAACACGCCATTTATATTGTGGATTTTTTTCGAAACTTAAGCAATGATTAACGCAATCAGACGAACCTGACAACCTAGGATAGCTACTGGCGATGCGTTAAAAATGGAAGTTTATTTCTTCAGTCTTCATGATATCGCACAAGCTCTATCAATCACCGTCATAAAAAGACGCGCTGGTTTCATTGCCTTCCCGTCTTGCATAGTTTGGCGGCAGTCTGTGAAGGCTATGTAACTTGCTCCATTTCTGTCGGTTGGCAGTAACTAGCCCTGTCAACTGCTGTTCTGATCTCAGCGTCTAAATGCTTATTTTAGTGATTTGGGTGGTGACTGCCGGTAATCAGCCTCGACCTCTAAGCTCAGCGTCAAGACCCCTGAGCTCATCGACCTCTGTGGCTGCCGTTGTGAACTGGCCCCGACGTTAACGAATGCTCTGTATAGCATTCCTCCTTTCAATCGCAGTTAAATATTCACTAAATGCGGTGTACTTAAACAAGTGCTATACATCTTCGTTATAAGTCCAGGATCACATGATATGTATGACCTACTTATGAGTTATCATAATCCTGACATAAAATTCCTTTATGTCAAAGGTGGCAGTAACGAAGTTACTAACTATTTTTCATGTGAATACAGAAATGAGAATCCTGTGGCATTTATGGTAATGGTGGAATTAACAAAGTAATATACTTTTGTTCATATGAATACAGAAACATGTTCCGGAAATATGTCTTATCCTGTGACATATTTCCGCTTTATAACGAGCCTGCGTATAAGTCGTCAATTGAAAGTTTAGTTACTTTTTAATCACTGTTCAGCTTTACGAGTAGCAAGCATTCTCACATGTGTCCCGAGAGGCAACCTTAGTTCTTCCCGACCTTTTTATCTACATTAATTTTACTTAATTCACACGTATGTTCACAAAGTGCTGCGATGCATCAATGATACATGTGCTTCTATTCTGATCAATTTACCTCCTGTATTATAATCTCGTTTAACGTTGATGACTGGCTCTGTTCACAGAGTTGATTTAAAGTCTAAATGCCACGTGAATCCTATGTTATCAGTTTCACGTATTGTGCGATCAATCGATGTAGATGGAAATATCTAATTTTTCTCAGACTGCTGGTTAGGCTGTACTGTTTCCTTCCTTGACAAGTATCGCGAGTTACGAATTTATAGATCTAAAAAATGTAGATCCAAAATTTATAGATACAGTTCATAGTGGTAGCCAGGGATCATGTATCGTTTAATTTCGAATTGACTAATTAATTGAACTTATTCGTTTTTGCACAATTTATTGGTTAAACGTGCAAAAATTCTGTTGCTGTATTAAACAACTGTATTGTAGTAATTTTTGCACATAGTGTATGGTATTAGCCGGATTACAGTATTTCCAATTTCTTAGTAAGTCATAATTCTCCCAACATTATAAAATTATCATTTAATTTTCCATTTGTATTTTTATTTATGGGGAGAATATGCGTTGTCTTGATGGGGAAAACGTATCGGCCCGACTTTCAGCGAACTGTCGGTCGCGCAATACTAACCTTGCAACGCTTTACTTGAAGCTGAACTTTGATACGTGAGTTTTCATCGGCTCTCGATTGAGCAGCCTGACTGAACTGCCGTGGTTTGGACACACGTCGGGCAATTTTACGGTCGGACTCTCGGCCGGTCTCCAAATTTAGTGACCAAGTAATATCTCTCGAACTATTGAACGTAGCTCTATGAAACTAGGTACACGTATTAATTAAACAACTGATGTTTAGATAGTGAAAAAAATTTCCATGTCACGGTCATTCGGGAGTTGTAGGCGTAACCGGCAATAATTTGCAGTGACGAAGACATTTATTCTGAACTAATGGACAGATTTGAACAAAATTTTGAATATACATTAATATATATCCAACGGTTATGTTTAGCTCATGAAGCCGAAGTGGAACACTTCGCAAATGCAAATTGCACTTGAATTACCTGGAATCAAGTTCGAATTATTCATAAAAATGTTTATTCATACGTTCAGCAGTGGATGTAACTTATTGCTGTTACATCCCCCGGCCCAACGTTCTGATTTAACCTATTGCCGTTAAATCAGAAAACCGGCCTCAAAATCGGCCTCAGAAATGCCGCTCGTTTCTCCGTATAGCCGTATTTCTCGCAAGCGAAGGCAAAATGGAAAAAATTTGCCACGAGCTAGACATCACCCCTGGGTGGTTAGGAATGTATATATAAAGTTTCGTTCGAACCTGTTCAGTAGTTTAGAATAAATGTCTTAGTCACTATAAATTTTGGCCTGTTTCGCCCTATGACTCACGAATGATGAAGGTCGAATAGATGAAATTTTCACAAGCTAAGCATCACCGTTAGGTCCTAAAGAATACATGGACAAAGTTTCATCGAGCAGCGTTCATCAGTTTTACATTCTAAGCATCACCGTTAGATCCTAAAGAATACATGGACAAAGTTTCATCGAGCAGCGTTCATTAGTTTTACATTTCCTTGGTCACTGAATTGGAAGATATTCCTTGGGGACCGGCCATGAAATTGTACCGAATCGATAATTCTCCGGTGATTCGGTTGAAATTGTCCAAGACGTGGCTTGGACGGGAATATTTTACCATGCATTTTGATCATCGTCGCAACTCAACAGAAAGCTTCGTTGTTAATAAGGCGAGGATCGCTTTCGATTTGGCGAAGTAATGTGTGTTGACTTGAACGTGCTGTGAAATTTTGTCCCAAAAATTCATTTAAAAAAAATTGTCTCCAGTGTTTCAGTGGTCAAATTTTTCGTCTTCGAATTAACGTAATGTTTCGGGTAGAATCTTTCGGGTTCAGCAAAATTGTGTAATGCGCAATTTTTTAATTTTACATATTTGATACAACTGAATACGGGGAAATAAATTTATTGCGAGTCTCATTTTTTCTTAATGCATTAAACGAACGTTAGATGGCGCATGCAATGATCATATTGAGCCCCACTCTAGAGGTCTGATAGTCTACCACAATTATCACCATCACGAATGTCCCAGCCCTATTATTAAAGTTACGCGTTGGAAGAGACAACCGGTAACCATGCATGGGAGATAACGAGTGTATTAAAGATTTTGCGCCCAACGAAAGGCACTTGTCGGATTGAAAGTGGAAATGGTTTGGGAGACGGATCTAGCTGGAGGTGGAAATTCCTATTCGATTATGAAAAGTAAGAATGCTGACCACTGACGAGCCTGCGCCTGCCGGCCTGCGCCGTGCGGCGGCTGAGGCGGCGCGGGCGCGCGGCCCTGCTCATTCACGGAGAGACTGTCTTCAGGGTTGGATGTGTTGCAGCGATAGCTCATCTTTCCAATTTTTGAAATGTCAGCGATTAATCGTTCTGAGAGTATAGTTCCATTGGCGCATTCTTTACCCGATTGTAGTTCAACCTTCAAATATTTCTTTATCTGTCTGTCCATGCAAATTTTAGCTTGATGAGTAATGATCACTTTGCTCTTGCAACTATAGCAATACAAGAGATGTGAGGTGAAGACTAAGGATATTGGGTTTGGCCGTTAACTTTGGACTTCGGAAACTACAGGCGCATTGTAGCGCATCTATGGCCTCGAACGAGTCGAACCCTCGAGTTGCGTCATTGTAAAATCGCTCAATCAAAATTAAAAAAAAAATATTGGGGCGGAGTCAATGGTCATATCATATGACTATTGGAGTCGATTTTTGTATACTCTGACAGTCTGACGTAAAGACAAATTTTTAAACCAGCCGATTAGTTTTTTGCTTAGGCCTACAAATGGTTAGAAATTTTTTTTTCGAAAATTTGTGTAGGTACATCATTTAATTATAATCTTAAGTCGAATTTTACGTACATGGGATTTAAAGACTACGATCTTTTAAGGCTACGAAAATCCATGTACCTACCTACCTAGTACATGCTGATGCAGTCGCAGATTTGCAGCGCAGGTTCTGTTTAACTACGTCATGACATTAGTTTGATTCAGTCGCATCCTCGCATGTGGGTCTGATTATTTAATTCTATCCAATTTAGCCGCATGAATTTTTTTAATTTTAGATGTAATGAAATCGCTCCTTCAAGTGGCATTAGTAATGGTTTTAATTTAAACAGCATGTGCAGCAATTTTGAGCATTGTGCTGTGTGGTTTAGAAATGGCATGCCCTGTTATCAGGCTGTTAACTTGCTAATTAGGGAATTACACTCGCTAAAATGACAACTGACAAGTCTGGTACAATATTTTGCTTCTTTGTTCTGGTGTATGTGCTGAAAATTGGTAAGAGTGCATTTCATGGTCTTGGTGGTGCATTTCGCAATGCCGCTACCTATTTAAGTTTTGAGAAAGTGGGAACAAATATAATAGCTATGATATTGCACGCTGTTGAACTATTGATTATGGAACTCGCTTGATTTGTCAGTTTTCCTACGAAACGTTTCTTTTGGCTGTATGGGCGGGCAACACTACTCTTTTGGCTATATGGGCAACCCGCAACTACCTATTTGAAGTTGATTAGGTATAATATGGAAACAACGTTGTATAGAGATTTGAATCAGTCGTTTGAAAAATTAGTCCTAAACGATTCATTTTCAGCTGCTTTTCATTGGTAGTTCGGGAATGAGCATCACCTAACCTACTGCTGGCCGACTATTTTGAGAGAGGAGTCAAGCATATGTTGCGCCGCCCGTTTGTATGACAATTCCAGCCGTCGAAACGAAACGTTTCGAAAGTTCAAGCTAGTTGAAACTACTGTTTCAATTATTTGTTAATATAGTGTACTTCGAAAGCTTGAATGTAAAACGCGCATTGAAAGAAGAGCGCAGCAGGCATTTATACTAAATCGAGATTTTATTGTGGATTACGGGATTGGGAACATCGTTTAGCGAATATACAAGTGAATATAAAATGCTGGGTTATCGTAAATGGTGAACCAATTCGATACATTCGTAGTTATTATAATTTAAGTATAAATCCAAAATGAATACTTTGTACACCAATAGAAAGAGAAAGATTCAAAGTTTCTTTTTAATATTTATAAATGTTCAATATGTTAACCTTGTGCTCTGTGCTGCATTGCAAACCTCGAAACGGATCCGTTTGTGCCAAACTAGGCGAGTCATTTTCTTGTTATAGGTAAAGTTGCTGGTGGATTTGGTACACCCCATTTGTGTACATTGTGTCTGTTGACTTTTCTTTTAGGTGAAACTTAGCCTCATCGCTATAAACGATGCTTGCTTGAAATCAGGCGTCCTCCATCACGTGTATCATATCATCACAAAATTCAACACGCTTCAATTTGTCCTCAGGTTTTATAGTCTGCACAAGTTGTAATCAATGTAATCAATAGGGTAAGTTGTAATCAATAGGGTAAGTTGTAATCAATAGGGTAAGTTGTGAGAGATAGGTTAAGAAAACTTTGAATCTTTCTCTTTTCATTAGTGAATGAATTATTATTTTTAAATTTATACTAAAATATATACGAATTACGAAAATCGGGCTATCAGTAGCATTCAATTAAATGTGGTGCCCAAGTTTTCCTCGACAATTTGTGGGAACAGTTAACGAAGAAGTTGACATTTCTCCATAAGATGGAAGATAGGGAGAGCTATAATTGTCATGACACGCGGGGCCCACTAGAACTAAATCGGTCGCCCAAGTCCGCGAACAGATAAAGATTACTGCAGAAGAGGCATCACCTCCGTGGTTAGTATCGGTGAAGACATTGTCTTGAAAGTTCCGAGCGAACAATCTGTGATGTTGATGCGTTCGTAGGTAGAAACTTTGGGTGCGCAGCCGTAGACCAGCAAATTAACGCTCAAATCAGCCCTGGAACCAATATCAACCATCTAAATGCTATAGATATTGTCATCCTGGCACCTAAGCAGCTGTAGTCAATTGACCTATCTCACTACACGAACTTTAAACCAACACTGCTTCAGCACACAAGCTGCTACTCCACATAGTTAACGGTCAATACGTTGTTCTCCAATGCTTTATAACCCATACCATCACTTCTTACACATGCTGTTATCCCAAGTGTCCGCTGACCACACTGTATTGTCGCAAAAGTGAACTGCACCAAACGGTAATGTGTCATCACCTTACTTACTCCGCAAGACGTGAACCCAGCATACTTCTCATTAGCTCGCTGGTTAATTTCCATGAAGGGGATTTGTACCTTTGGCTTTTAACATATAATCTCTTAGTCTACTCTGCCCTTTAGCAGGCTTACGCACGGAAAGGAGGATGAAAGATATGCTGGTCTTGGGCTATGCTGGCCTCCGGCATGCATCCCGAAACTTTCAGGACCCAAGCCATCTCGAGTTGTCTCTTAACCAGTGGTGGGCACAGTTCCGCTAATCCGCTAACCGCTAATTAGCGAAGCTAACTTTTCCTTATCGGATTAGCTGTTCAGCTAACTTTGAAAACCTTTAGCGGACCAATTAGCTTCCGCTAAATTTAGTTCCGCTAACTGGTAGTCCGCTAAAAATGTTTTAAAATCTCTGATTTAATGCTATAAGTATCGTCGCCACGCCCACACTGACGGCTGACATCGTCATTATATGTTCGTCAGCCAATCACGTCTTGTGTTACTGGCAGTAACACAAGACGTCCTATACTGCAGTCCTCTGGTGGACGCAATGCTGGCAGGCATCACGAAAAGGTTGGGGTCCCTCCTAGAAGACAAGGAGTGCCAGCTGGCAGCGACCTTCCACCCCAAGTTTCGCCTGTTCTGGCTGGAAAAGCATAATCACAGCCATCTCAGGAGGGTACAGAAGGTCATGGAGACCGCCGTGGAGACAGCCCTGAGGGAGACCGTTGAGGAGGGCAGCAGCACCACCAGCAATGACGAGGATGGGGAAGATGACTTCTTCAGCAGCATTACTCAGCCCATGGAGTGCAGGAGGAGCCACTGGTCACTGAAGTCCAAGGCACAGAATTTGGTGATGACCTGGCTAGGAAGCAGCTCGAAGGAGGAGTTGACTGACGTTGCCTTCTTGGGCGAGCAGGTTTTGATGAACCATTTCGTTAAGTACAACACAGCCATCCCATCCAGTGCTGCAGTTGAGCGCCTGTTTTCCATAGGCTAGGACATCTTGAGTGTCAAGAGAACCACCCTGTCAGATGCCAACTTTGAGAGGCTGATGTTCATGAAGGGCAACAATCACCTCGAGGAGATGAAGGCGAAGGGCAAGCCAGAGTAAAAGGAGTGTGTAACCCTGATGTAACCTTAATATTTCTTATTCGTTTAATAAACTGTATGTTGAATGTCAACTAATGCCTAATTTCATTTGTTCATTTAATTATTTATGTTACGTACATCTTGATCATCATCTCATCTTGGCATGCTACATCTTTTTGGAAAGCTCCTTTTCAAGGCTTAAAGTTCAGCTCTATAGGCCTTTTTTTTCAGAGTTCCCTCCCAAAAACTAGGCCAAATCTTAATTTATATATTAAAAATTAGCGGTTAGCGATTAGCGGCAAATTCCACTACATTTTTCGGTATTTATCGGTTGAGCGTTATCGAAGCTAACTTTTCAGTTAGCGGATTAGCGGTTATCGAAGCTAACTTTTAGGTTAGCTGTGCCCACCACTGCTCTTAACTCCAATTATTTACATACAACGTTAGTGCATTGATAATCTTACTAAAGTTACTATTTAGTTGATACTTTCGCCATTTTGCCTCGCAGAACGGTGGTAGAAGTATAAAATTTGTAATAATTTTTAATCGGAAACTCTGAAATGGCAAGACGAGGATAATTACAAGAATTAAGTTAAATTAACGAGTTACGCTGAAATTAGAAGCGTTGGGCCTTGATTCGGCCTCTTTGGTATAGTAGGGTCGTCGTTGGTGATTAGGTTACTCCTGGCCTGTTGACGATTTTCACAATGTTGCATCTCAATCAACCTATTCAATATCTTGCAGCTTGGCATGACAATGAACCTAATTCAATCCTCAATAATTGGAACTGTTTTTATCAAATCTTTTGTTCACTTTGCGGACGTTACTCACAATTTCTTCAGTTATGAATGTCTGAGGTAGTGACTTTACAGTTGAAAGATTTTTTTAACAGTTGCACCAGTGGATGTAGAATCTCTTCAGAATATTCTATTTTACGATTTTTTAATTTTTTTAGATGAAATTACTTTGGTGCTATTAATATTAATTTTAATTACTTCTTATGTAGATTGTGTGCCTTGCAAATGTTGATTCCACTATCGGGAAAGTATTCGTGTCCTCGATACTGAAAAATTCTTAAGTTTGCTCTGCTGTTTATGTCCCACCCATCGAATTTATCAATTTGGTTTAATGTTTTAAATTAACGCGGAATTTTTATAACGGAATTAACGCGGAATTTTATAAATTAATTAAATTTATAAGGCGAATTTTATAAATTTTGTCAAGTTGATAAATCTATTAGAGATGAATTATTTTATATAGATATTGTACTTGGAATATTGAGCGGACATGTGATGATCGACGAGCTAAGCACTTAAATTTGTGTGGTATTTTCGGAAGAACGAGTTATTATTAGATTGATGTAGTTGCAAGGTCAATAATTATATAATTAGTCCAAACTCTATGTGGAATGATCTTGGAGGCTGAAGCGGAGCATTACGTTCGTGTACGACATAATCGTTATGCAGCGTTTGAATGTAGATTAGCGGTCTTGATACCTCAATTATTCTTTTCTAAATGCACAGCAGCTTTGTTGCTGCATGATTTTTTACCGATCGTCCTAAGCATCTCATCATGATTGAGTCGACAGAAAGCTCATTTGCGTGCAGGTAACAAATGATTTCATACAAGTAAATCTGTTGACTAATTAATATCGAATTCCGCAGTTCCTCTCCGTATCAGTTGCACCCAGATTTTGCGTATTGCTATGCCTCTTAAATGCAATAAAATAAAACTACAGTTGACTCTCCTCCTAGTTCCCTTGTTTCGAATTTACGCCTGAAAAACGTCCCAAATTTGCTTCAAGTACACGTTAGGATCAGACTTGGTTTCTAACTAATATCTAATGAATTTCAAATTTCGCGATTAATAAATATTCATAGCAAATGCCGCATACTTTTCAGAGAATTGTTTCTTTCTTTCAGAAGAGCATGATTAACATGCAAATCCAATGCGAAGCCACTTCGCAGCCTGTTTCTCCCAACGACAAGCCTGGTGCGAATGCTGCTGCAGAAGCTCCTATGGAATGTTCTGGTGATAAGCCCGACCACGACATTTGTTTCTTGCACTCGTGCCCTGTCGAATTCTGGTGTTTCAAGTGCCAAGTTGCCACTTGCAGCAATTGTATTTCAGAGCCGCATTATGCCCATGGCCAGATTTCATTAAAAAATTTAGTTGGTCAAGAATCTTTCGTTGAAGAGGTGAAATCATCCCTCATTGGCGAGCTCGGACAACTAAGGACGCTTTGCCTTGAAGATACATTGGACCTTTGCGACAAAGGATTGGAATTTATCGCATCGATAAAACCGATCGAAAATGAACTATTGTCTTGGAAGAAACATCTCCAGCATCAGCAAATGAAAATGTCGGCTTCTAATTTTATGGAGACATCCTGCGAGACTACTTCGAAAGCAGGAGTTGATGCATTCCTGAAGGTCATGTCACTCTGTGATGTGGAGGGAGCAGCTCTTGCTTCAAAATTCAGTTTGAATAAGCTCAAACTATATGCCATTGATGCAGATTTCAAGGTAATAATTAATTAATTCCTCTTTCGGTTCATTTTTTAGCCTGTTGTGTTTCTGCCGATTTACATCGCAATAGAAATTATCAACTCAATTTGATGTATTGTTGACGATGGTAGGAAATTTTGATCAAGTGAGATATGAAAAATAGTTGTTTGTTGATTAAAATTTGAAAATGTTAGTTCAATTATTTTCATTAGTTCAAAAATGATAGTTTTGTTATAAAAAAACATTCGTTGAAGATGTTATATGATATTGTTTACCCTCAGTGCATTCCATTCCGATTTTATATATATCTGAGAAGCACGTCGAGGTGAGAGTATGAATGGTCAATTATTTAATATTTTGTTCACTGCACGAACTAACTCTTCCTTGCAATGTACGCAGTCGTTGCATCGAAATCAGGAAACCCAGATAAAACGTCTTCTTCCTCTTCCTGAAGAATTTTTGTGTGTGGACGCAAAAATTGTTCTTGACATTGAGAGGAGCAAGATGGAGCGCATTCGGCAGACCGTTCAAAGAAGCAAAATTGAAACAATGACCGTGATGTCCTCTGAAAGAAAACCCATCTTAAATTTATCGGAACTGCTCTTGAAATTATATGAAGAGGGTTGTGGAATTAACCTCTACTTGTTAGATACTTTTTTTGGGGGCAGCTCTGGCGGGACTAATGATTCCGTGAGGTTGAAACTTTTCCTGCACCGAGAATTTGGGTACGTGGAATTAGTTTGCCAGCATGTTACAGAGTTTCACATTTCACCTGTCTTGCGAAATTCTTTATAGTCACTAATAACTATTGAGCGCTTCTCTCTTATCGCTGATCACCGGTAGTTGCGTTTTGAAGATAATGAACATTTATCTTTCAGGGAGCGCCTAGCATCGTTCTACGGTCACCTCAAGCACGCCGCTTGGGCCAAGTTCGGTGTTGTTGGACTGCCTAAGCTTGGGCTTCACCTCCAGTCTGGAGGTGACTTGGCTGATATCAAGAAGATACTGAATGACAACAGCGGTGCTGAGACTGGCACTGAGCCAAGTAGGTTTTTTGTTAAGTTGATTTGCTTTCATTCGTTGTATCTTTTGCTAGCTATCAATTGCCTTGCACTTAATTACTCTCTGTTCATTTCGTTAAATTAGTTTAAGATTTTTGTGGAAAATTGCTTGAAAAATTTACGATTTTTGATGAAAAGGTTGGACGAAAAAATTGTGAACACTCGGATGTTTTTAAGTATATAATTGATTATGTATTCGACATTATATATTCACTGTTTTTTGATTTGGCTAAACAAACCGTGTGATTTTGAATAAAAAACATGGCTCAGGGCCTCAGTAGTGTAAAAGTCATTTGTAAAGTAAAAAGTGTCATTTTTGTTTTCTATTAGTTTGATTGGAAATGTGTAGTTTAACATCGTAATAGTCTTTTTTAGTGCCTGACAATAGAATTATTCTCAAGCAACTGGAATCTTGCATATTCGAATTTAGTATTTAGGACACCGACAGAAATAATAATAGCGGTTTCAGCGTTTAGTAGGCCGTAGGCCTGTTGCCGATTTTGAACATCGCAGAACATTCACAGCATTTCGCGGTCTCGAACTCGCAACTCCCTGCTACAATTCTGCTTTTGCTTAACCGCCCGGCCTCCGTGCTGATTCTGACCAGAAACTGTCGCACAGAGCTGGGATCGAACCCGCGCTTCTCTGCGCCAATCATGGTACTCTGAACTTTAACCACTGGGCCACCTGCCCATGTGCGATTGATGCAGGGTGGTAGCAGATGATGTGCGATTAAACTGCTACACAAGAGTACTCGCTAGTACATCGAAAGTCTTCCATTATATAGGAATTTAAATTATACTATTATGACTAATATCTGGGTTGCAGTAAAATGAACATACTGTACTTACCGTACCGAGAAAAAGCTATTGGATTTAGAAAAAACGAGTTTCAAAATACTGAACTGAACAAATTATGCTCCCCATTCATCACAGTAAATAACACAATGCCCGGCGGTCGCACCATGCTAATGAATGAATGTTAAGTTTTGTACGAACTTCAGAAGTGATACATGAGGTAATTTTTTTGCAGGCCCTGGCGAAGCGTCGAATTGTGAGGGTGCCTCGTCTTCTTGCAAGAGCAGAGCAGCGGTTTTGAGTGGCCCTCGGAAAGTTGTCTCGAATCAAAAATCTGCAACAGTGGGGACCAAAGCGCCGTTCGTTGCTGGTACTGTTACTATTTGTCATGAATCCTGTACAATTATAACTTTTAAATATTCTATTAAAAGTCGGGTTTTCTTCAGTTTTTAAATTGGAAAAAGGTAGTATGGGATGGGACTTGTATTATTAGATAATTTGAAATCCTTTATTTCTTTTGACCTATATTTTTTGGCATGTGGTTGGAAGACAATTCATGAAATAGATAATGATTATTATCCTGTGTAGCAAAACTCTAAATGAGTTTAGCGTATTATAGCATTTAAACGTTCAATTAAATTTGAATATCGGTTCTAAGCCATTTGATACGTTTGATTTTTATTATTTCTTCGGATACTTTTTTCCATTTAGTAATAAATTTCTCTCAAGATGCCAGCATATTTATTATTTAAGATGCACTATTTAAACGTAAAATAATCAAAATATGCCTGCCTTCTTAGATATTGCCATCAGCAAGAGTGTAATAGCGACCGATATTACGAAAAGTCTGGAGGTGGAGCCCAACAGGAAGTATCGCCTGCATTTGGTGAAACTGGAAGATCCCGACAAGGACTGGTGCTGCGCAGTCATGAAGGCTTTGCTTCCCCGGAGACGTTATGATTTTGACCGCGTTTTTGTTTCTGGAGGCGAAGTGTGAGTTTGATTGTGATATCTACGTATTTCAACAATATACCGGTATTTATCATTGTAGAAAACTCTTGCAGATGATGAGGTTTGAGTGTTTTTTGTAAACTGTACCTTAAGAGTTGAATTTTACAGTATATTGAGTTTTTTTAGCAAATTTGTTAAACATGAGCCGTTTCTTAACCATTGGTTCACAAAAGGAGGAAATTATCCTCTGTATCAATATTTTGGGAGTAACTTAGAATCAATGAAATGCAGCCGTACATTTCAATGGTGACACGTGTGAAAGGGCTAATCTGAGCTTGTTAAATGGGCTAACAATGTAAAAGTTTGGGAGTCAAAGAGGCAGTTTTGCCCTTAATTTGCGAGCAGAAAATAATCAGGTCGTTTATTGGCTAGTAGCTTATTAAGATCCCCAACATGAACTAAATTATTTATAACATTAGTTGTCTAATGCACGGTTACGACTCCTCAATTTACTCATTGAATATTAATTGTTCCTGATTTACGTTCTGATAATGGAAAGTATGCTCAAAAAAAATTCGTTGTCATACATCAAGACCAAATTTCGAAGAATAAGAATGAAATGTGGAGTTTTCAAGTTTGAAAAGTATGTTGAACAAAGTCACATTTTACTTACAATTACAAAGACTACACTATTTTCAATGTTCCTGGTCAGCAAGTCATGTGTGAATTTTTATTGATTTATTGTTCATCAGCTAAAATATGTTTTACTTTCAGTAAGCACGAGCTGTGGATTCACGAGTGGGGATGCTTATCGCCCGCCACCATGAGAGAAGTGAGGCAATATTTGGCCGATTATACGAGCATTCAAGTCGTGAGGGTGAATGTCAAGTTATTCACCCAAGATCAACAAGAGATAGTAAACGCCCCATATGCCGAAACTATTAGCCAGTCATCTACAAATAGTGTGCCCGTGTATCGTAGGTTGCCAGTGCAATTCAGCATTCCACCTTTCTAATCTTTCATATCCGAATGGGTGAAATGTAAAGCTCGCGCGAAGATATGACAAAAATTCAAATGGAACCATTGCATTTATTTTTAGAGTTCTCACTCTTATGCGAGTCACACTAGTTGTGCATGAAAAGCCATTCAAACTTTTGCTGCGGAGGCTGATTTTATGATTTGATTTGCGTATGCACAACGTTCACCAGTCAATGATCTATTTAACAGGATTTGATCGCATTAATTACTTTTATTTATTTATCACTTTGATTACCGATTCACCAATTGAAACTGTTTTGTTGTTAAGAGAAATAGCCTAAACATTTATAGGTACATGTATATATTCTCTTGACTAAAAATCTCAGAGTACTCTCTAAATGTTCACTGGAGCTCTTATGGAGTTTATTTTTCTGGTCATGCTATCTCATCTCTAAATTTTTCTCAACTGTTTTAACTGGCTATTGATACGAATTGTTTTAGCGGGCAACGTGTACTGGATGTGCGTCTATCTCTAGATATCTCGCGAGTTGATAGCTTGGAGCCGCCAGAAGGTATGATGGAGCAAGGTAAACAGCGATGGTTACGCGCAGATGTCATAAGCGTATGTTGAAGCTGTAAACAGATCCCATTTTGCATGGGCAAGACGTAGGTGCATGATGCAATACCGTGTGTGCTGAGGTGTGCAAAGGAACCAGGTTATTTGGAAAGCTGATATATAATCAGGCTTGCACTCTGAAACGGATTATTTCTTTATAGTTAAAACACTCTGGTACTTTCTGGAAATTTCAAATTTAACGGCGGATGTTGTTCATTTCACTTATTCTTTGCTTGGTAGTATGTTAGTATTATTATTTTCTTGCCTTTTATCTATATTGTTCCGGGAATTTCTTCGTTATCCAGAGTTGTGAGCGTTTCACTCTGACAACAACGCACGAGACACGCGTTAAGAGTCGTGACAGGGATGCTGCGCTTCATTCATCTTATTGTTTTTACACACGTTCTCACGGGGGTATTTATTTCCCGTCTTAATTTCCTCCACTTTTCGACTCGGGCCAAAATTGTTGTTCCTTCTTGAAAGCTATTTTTTCTCGTTTTTTCAGAAGAAGAAAAAGTATCAAGATATTTTTTGGAATTGTTAAAAAAATGGGTTGGAACTTGCGTTTGATTATGCGATTTTTAGGAATGGAAAATTCAGTTTCCCGTTGCTAGTTTTGTGTTTCTTCATAATCATTTAATCCATCATTATACTATTATGTAGGCCGTACAATTAAATTGGAAATCTATTTCCTCATTTGATTTATGTCTTCATTCGCCATTTGTTTTGTAGTCGCGTAATAAAAAATGCATTCATTGCTAGTCGTTGCAAAGCTTGTTGCGTTCCATTTTCTAGTTTAAAATGGGCGAAAGAGAGGGATAATTACTTATTCGTTTATGATGTGAATAAGCCAGTGAAGATAAATAGATTGTAGCACATGTACGATATTTGTTTGCTGTATTTTTTGTGGAAGATTTATTTTTATTACTATAAAATCAATTGATTGGCCGAAATTCACACACCAGGGAAGAGTCAGCGTTATAATCATGTACCGCAATATATTACTATTATTGTGTTTTTTTTGTTTGTTTGTTTCTAGTTGTGCGTACGTTTTCTAGCTTTTTGAAGGCGTTTTCATTCAAATTAATGGAAATGCGATAGCGAATATTTGTGCACCAACCCGTGTTTCCAGTGCACAATTCTTCCCACGTATATACTGTAAATGGAGATGGACTATCAATTTTATTTCAACATGTGCCATCAATATTCCGACAAGTAGACGGAATATATCGTGTGGCCGAAACCGTCTTGTGAAGTAAATTTAGTGTCTTTGGGTAATTTTGTAATATATAATCTAGGAAATTGGTTTGAAGAGATTGGTCTTAAACAGTTATCGGAGTCAGGAATTCAGGATGAAATGTGCAAGAGTAATAGGGCAATGTTGCCTAGGTTGTAGACGACAAGGAGTTTTGAATATTAATATTTCGAAAATTGTAAGGGCATGAAATTAAATGTTGAGGAAATAAGGGTTGGGTTTGATGCCAAAGGATGAAACTTCTCGGAGCTTATTTCCCATGCAGATCATTAGCAAAAAAAAAAATGCTTTTAGTTGGGCAGCAGCTCCTATTGTCCTGGCTGATGCGTGATAATTTACTTCCACAGATTGTTTAATTTGAAATTTTTTTTTACTATCCATTCTAACATATTGTGCGTAATTTGAATTTTTTTAATATGAAATCCATTCTAACATAATGAGCGGAAAGCGGTTTACAAAAGTCGAAGACCAGTTCATAGTTAATTTTCTGATTTTTTTGCCCAAATCTTAGCTATTATCATAGCAAAATTATTGAGCTCACAATTGTTCTGAATTAAAACTGACAAAACTGTGTATCGTGATTGGAGATCAAAAAATATTTTATCGTGATAAAAATTGTGAAATTTAAATCGTGAAGCGAATGGTAAAATTATTTGGAGCTCATTTTGTTGTGGAATAATTAGATTTGACGAAATTTAGAAGAACTTGTGTTCACTGGTTCAATAAAAGTCGAGGCTTAACTGTAATTGTAATTCGGCTATGATTTTAGGGCCTTTTTTTATTCCAGTTAATTTTTGCACCAATTTGGGTTTTGGTCGATTGCCAAAGGTCGCATATGTTGAAAATGGTAAATTCTGATACATTAACCGTAAATTGGTCATTAAGTGCATGGTACATCTTGTGCTACAATTAAAACTCAAAAATTTGTGGATCCACAGCTTCATAGCGTTAGCAGTTATGTGGCAGGTAATGATCCATTCATTCAAAATAACTGGTATTGGCGTAATAGGAATGAATTTTCAGTTATTCAGCAACAGTTTTCATCCCTGTAAAATAAACGTTTAGACAGGACGCACCCGCTATTTTGTATAACTTGACATGTGGTCTTCATAATTTTGGTAGATTCGATTCTAATTTCAATTTCCAGGGCAATCAAATGACGACCTGGTCAAACCTTATTGAAATCTGTATTTTGTTTCATGTATCCTGCTTAACTGCGTAATGTAAGTCTTCACATTTTATGCATACTGCACAACTGCACACGTTCCAACGTTTCTCTGAATCATTTGTGTCAAAAAATTGTGTTGCCAATTAAAGTCTGCTAAGATTTTTTCATTAAATTCTCTCTGGGCACTGACCTGTTTTATTGCCAGCCATGATTTCTGTCGCGTTAAAATTTATTTATATAGCCTATAAAATTAGAATTGAGGTTTTGAATGCTGGGTAGGATAAATTCATGCCTAACTGACGCTGTTTTCAGCGGAACTACGTATTTACTTTCATCTACAGTGGGATGATAAAGCACCAAGCTCTGCGAAAGTAGTCTGTATTGAACAACTTCGAAGCTGTTGTGCGGAGAAATGTTACACAATAAAATGTTACACAACAATACGAAACTGTTGTTCGTATTGTTTACAAAGAAAAGTCCAACTTAACGAATTTTGTCCGAAATTATTGATAAAATTTTTGTTGTATTTCGGCAATTAGTTGATGCAAAAATGTGAAATTTTCCACGTGTTCCATTGAATAAGCAATCTAAACTTATTTCATTTCCCCTTGGAAACCCCTGCGAAAACCTCGAAACAGAATTAGCAGTTTGTATTTTACCACAAGAAGTTATGATGATAGAGCGGCAGGTTCTGTACCCTGTGACCTAAGTTGAACGCCAGTTAAATTACAAACTTCTTTCTCTATTAGAGGACTCGTCCACATGCATAAGAAGGCCACAATACTAAAATTGTTAGAGATGAACTTTTGTATTATACAGAAATTCTAGGTCATGAACAATTTTACACTAAACTATAATGAAAATAAGTTTAATTCTACGTACCTATTCACCTCTGAACTATCAACTAGCCTGATTCTAGCGCACTCTGAAACGTTGAAATAATTATACGCTGGGCGGTTCCCAAACTTTTTCAGGCTGGCGCCCCCTTTGGCTCCGTTTGAATTTCTCGCGCCCCCCACAGACAAACGCCTATTTCTTGAAATTTAGTACGCTGCAATTTTAAAAGATGGAGATTAAACACAACTGTGTATTTCACAAATACAACCCCATTTAGTGAATCAATATGTTTTTCAGCTGTTTTAACTGTTTCGGCACTAGAAACCTAGGACGGCCGGTCTCACGACCAATCTCCAAATTCAATTATCAAGTAATATCTCCCAAACTAATGAACTCAGCTCTATGAAACTTGGAACATGTATTCATCAGAACCTAGCGGTGATGTTTAGCTCGTACATTTTTGTTAAATTTCACCTTCATTCGTGAGTTACGCGTATATTGCGAAAAAGGCCGAAATTCGCAGTGATCAAAGAATTTCTTCCAAACTATTGAACAGATTTGAACGAAATTATGAATATACATTCCTAACTACCAAACGGTGATTTTTATTTCACCGTCATTCTTGATTTCACACTTCCTTATATTCGGCCCGTATCGCCGGGTAATTTGTTACTTAAATTCGCGGCGATCAAGAAATTTCTTCTAAACTACAGAACAGATTTCAACGAAACTTTGTGTATAAATAACCTAGCCTCTCAACGGTGACAATTTTTCTATTTCGTGACAATTTTTCTATTTTGCTTTCGTTCGCGAGTTATATAGATATAGGAGGAACGACCGGCTTTTCTACCGGTCGGTTTAACCAAGACCCTTATACGTACAGCCGTATAACTCGCAAACGAAGGCAAAACGAAAAAATTGTAAACTTCACCTTTGCTGAGGTTAGGTATTTAAATACTAAGTTTCGTTCAAATCTGTTCAGTAGTTTGGGAAAAATTTCTTGATTACTGCAAATTTAAGCATGTAGGTATTGCTGTTTTAATCACAAATGAAGGTGAAATGAAAAAAAAAACTCGCGAACGAAGGCACAATCGAAAAAATTTTCTTGTGCCAAACATTACCGTTCGTTAGTTAGGACTTTAAATTCAAAATTTCATTCGAATCTGTTCAGTAGTTTGGAAGAAAATACTTGATCACTGTGAATTTCGGCCCGTATTGCCATCTAACTATGGCAAAAACAAACGATGGCACTATTCAAACAATTTTCACGAGCAAAACATTATTGTTGTGTCCTAATGAATACGTGTACCAAGTTTCATCGAGTTAAGTTTATTAGGTTGAGAGATATTCAATCAATGATATGTTCAATCAATCGATCAATCAACCCTTGAACATTGAATTTGGAAATTGGCCGTGAGACCGGCCGTTAATTTGTCCAAGACATAAACCCAGGAGAGGTTAAAAAACTGATCTGGGTGAGAAAACCATCGCTGGGAGTCATGTGCTGCACGTGTTGTTTTCAAATCGTCAAACAAACGTTCGAACTTCTGACATTGACTTCGGACTACCGCGCCCCCTATCGCCCCCCTTCCGCCCTCTTCTTCCTTACCGCCCCCCAAAATCTTTCCACCGCCCCTA